CCTCTGCAGAAATCCTTCCCGCTCTCTCTGCCTCTTTCTAACTGACACGATAGAGGACAGTGGTGTCAGTGGTGCTGGGGACCCACCATTCTCCCCAAGGCTGTAACAAGATTCTTGATCTTTGGTAGACAAAAATGGCAAAACGAGCTCTGTCCGGTAATAAGAGCCAAGGTGTCCACCGTGCCTTTGTCTTGAGTCCTCATCCATGGGACACTAGTTGCTCAATTACTCAGCAGAGCAATCCCGTGTGGCCCCTGGGAGCTGCAGGCTGTCTTGGGAGATGAGCCAGGAACCCTAGCATCACTGAAGGAGAAGGAATGGGAATACTGGTGGGATCCAGAGGAATCAGTGCCCTTCTGGAGCCTCATCTTGGGTGGTAATGCCAAGAGCCTCGCACCAAGGAGCAGCTTCTCCAACTGCCACTCTTTTCAGATTTTTTTAATCAGGCAGGAAGGAAACTGGCCCTGATTATGTGCTTATCATGTGTGTGTTCTTCACAGATATCATTATCCCCACTCAAAACAGAAAACTGAGGCTCACAGAGGTTACGCTGGCTCTGTAGCCATTGAGGAGCAAAGCAAGGATTTGGGGCAAGATTTGCTGTACTCTGTACCCCATGCATGTCCCTGGATGATCGTGCTCTGGGGTATAAGCTTGGGCCTCATTTCAGCTGAAGTGTCTTCAGACTTCAGACCCTAGACCTCTTGCCCCATTCTCCTTGGAGGGAGGGCAGGTGTCAGGAACTGAGTACACATACTAACGGTTATGGTTAAGTTCTAGATAACCTTGTTGGAATTTGGCCAATAAGCCAAGGAAATCTTCAGGGTGGAAAATGGGAAGCAGGTCCTCGAATGGGAAGACTCAGCAACAAAACCATCATAGCCAATCCTTAAGAAGTAACCTCCCTCCTGCAACCTTCAACAGGGGACCAGGCTACTCTGATTCTTGATCCTCCCCAAGTGAATGATCTCAGAACCTACTGGTATCTTCCTGAGGATGTAGAAGTGAATTTTAATGTGGGGGAAATTCAGAACGAATAACGTGTTGTGAAGTTTATGTAAATGTTATGCGCACACACACTTAGGTATGGACAATAGACATTTGATTTATCTCTTGGTCCATTCATTTGTATTTAATTATTTTTCCATCCTTGAATTTATTTATTTACTTGTAGTTCATTTAATCATTCATTCATTTATCCATTCATCAATCCATCTAATGATTTATTCAACAGATGTTTCCTGAATGCCTACCATGTGCTACATATCATACTGTATGTTAGGAATATAAAATTCAATTAGACAAAATCCTTCCTCTTAAGAAACTTACAGTCTAATGGGATTAGATAGCCATTTACATACATAATCGTATTACACTGTTTTAGGTTCCACAGTAGAGATACATACAATGCATTTTGGGAGTCCAGAATTGATCATCCCTACTTAGAAGTAAGGAAGAGAAGCCAGTACAATTGTGTAGAAATGAGCCCATGGTTTCTAATTCACAGTCCCGAGGCCTCACTCTGGGAAGCACCTATGTGGGCAGAAAAGAAGACAAAACATTCTTCGCTTTATCTGCTTCGCTTTATCTTGGCATTACCACCAGAAGATGGAGGTGATGGTCTTCAATTTTTCAGAAAATGATCTGAGGTGAGAAGGATATGGACCCTGAGTTCTAGACTGTGGTCTGCAGGGGCCACCCAGCCCTCCTGTTAGAGCCCAGTCCTCATGGCTCTGTCACCTTCAAGCGTCATCTGGTCATCCTTACCCACCACAGGAATAAACAACTGGAAAATGGAGAGCGTTTTGCTCCAAACACTGAAAGGGGTATTGTAGGGAGCAATAGTGTTTACCCCTTTCGTGTGGAAAGTTCCCAGTTTTTCTCTAAAGGACCCATAAGACTTATTCTCAGTTCATGGGGTATATTTCCTCCAAATAGCTTTGTAAATTTTTAATCAAAATTGTATTTTAGGAACTGAAAAATACTTGATTTCTACCAGACTGTCACATTTGAAAGGAATTTTATGAAACCCAAATGGGATTTGTTTAATGCCTATATTTCTTCTTCTTCAAGTGGATTTCCAACCAAGGCTTTCAGATTTTCTCTCCTTTTTTTTTTAAAAGGACCTTTTATATACAATGTCAAACCCAGAAAGGTGACATTCAGTAAGTGACATTCTATTTTAATTCACTTTGACAAAATAATGAACTCTATTTGTAGGAGCAATATAGCCTCATCTGACAAGGAGATGTCTCTGGAGTTTTTCTATAAATGAAAAAATATAGATATAAAAAGATTCCTTTTTTTTTTTTTCCTGATAAAATGGCCAAGTTTGAGATCTTGGAGAAACTTTTGGGAACTTATGGGGAACATCTATGAATCAGTAGGAAACCCCCTACCACAATCACATATCCTGCCACCTGTCAGTCATGTTTGGATTTCTGATTTGGGCTAACACCTACTGTTGTCCTCCAGATTCAGATTTTCCATCCACATCCAGTGCCTGGGGGAAAGCAAAGCCTCTTAGCTTCAGGACAGCCTTGGCTTCCTGTCAATGGTGGACGACAAAGGTAACTGTGACACACATGGATGAGAATCCACAGGAGGCTGGAATTAGCAACCTCAAGGCAGGACCCCAGGTCACAGATCCAGCTCAAAACCCAAATCAGGTTTTCCAGAGAGGCAGAAAAATAGGTGTCTTCATAGCTTCTTTGTTTTGAACTGTTTATGTTTAATACATCTCCCTGGTCATTTTTAAAAATAAAAACCTAAAGTGGGGAGGGGAGACTAACTTTCAAGCTGAGTATAGGAAACTTGAATTATCAGGGAAGGCCACCAGGATGTCCTGGGAAAATGGGGTTTGGAGACTTTGGTCATAACTATCCAGCCTTTGGACTTCCTGCAAACGAGGGGCGAGAAAGCTGCCTCAGTCCCTGGGGGAGGAAACAGGAAGGTAGGAGCTAAAGGCAGGTGACCCTGCTCAGGACACTGGCTGTCATAAAAAGAGATGCATTTTATTTCTATGTATTATTTGAAAAATACATTTTAAAAAATAGAATAAAATGTATAAACCCATGACACTTTTTAAAATTATTGACATAGGAAATGCAACTCCTTTCCTCTGTCTTAACACCAACACCCCTTTGCATGATAACCATTGTCCATCCTTCCTGCCATTTTCTGTCTACAGACAAAAGATACTTACATATATCCATAGATACATAGATATCTTTTAGTTTTATTGACAAAACAGGAACACCATGTATGTTGGTTCACATGGCTTTTTTTTCCCCTTAACAGTATAACTTTCCACACCAGTATATATAAAATTAGAGTGGTTTTTTTTTTCATTATTATTATTACTGTCATTTGCCTTCCGAGCCTATCCTTGGGGAGCATGTCTCAAGTTCTTGGAGAAAGGGTTGCAAAGCAGAAGGGAATCTTGACTCCCAGTGGCTTTATTAGACAAGCCTGTAAGACAAGGACCCCTGGAATTATCACCCAAACCTCTAGTTACCACTTCAGGCTCTCCTGGCTCCAGCCAAGTAAGATGAACGCAGTTCAGGAATGTTATTGTCTGATATTCTCTTGTTTTAAAGTCCAGCTAAAGACACGATAGCAAGCCTTCTTTCATAAGAAGAACACTTGAATCCTGGTAGACTTTTTGAAGGTCCTTTCATCTGTCTGGGGATGAGTAAGTAAGAATAATAATAATAAGCTCATTGGCTCCCCACATAGAGCTGCCTTTCTGTTGTCCTTAAATATAACCTATTCCAATTATATCAGCAACTGTCAAACTAATATAAATTAGATTTCAAATCGCTAAAATATAATTTCTTCTTTCAATGTTTAAAGAATGTTATTGATTTTTATTATAAAATATTTTAATCATACATAATAATACATGGCAAAAAATAATGTGAATACTCCTGAACCTGGTACTCAATTTAAGAAATAAAATATTACCAATACCACTGAAGCTTTCTTTCCCCATTTGCATTTTCCTGCCTCCCACATACTTCCTGTATCAGGGATAATCATTATGCTGAATTCATTCCCTTTTTTTTTCTTTTGAACCATCATTCCCCCTTCAGACATTACAATCAGTGGGAGATTTGTTTTAACTACTGTGTAGTTTGATTCTGTTTTAGACTTTTACTCTTTCCTTTTGGGAACCATAGAGAAGAACAAAAAGAATGAAAGGGTAGGGAACACAAGTACATTTTAAATAGAAACTAAAAAATTGGGATGCCCCTGGGTGGCTCAGTCCGTTAAGCATCTGCCTTTGGCTCAGCTCATGATCCCAGGGTCCTGGGATCGAGTCCCACGTTGGGCTCCTTGCTGAGCAGGGAGCCTGGTTCTCCCTCTGCCTGCTGCTCCCCCCTGCTTGTGCTCTCTCTGTCTCTCTGTCTGACAAATAAATAAAATCTTTTTTAAAAAATTAAAAAAATAGTAAATAGAAACCAAAAAATAGAGAAAACCTACAAACTCCAAGGTATATGTAAATAATGTCCAAAGCAGATGTGACCAGCTGAATCCTGTGGGAATCCTCATAACAGAGACAGGAGAAGTCGGGAAGAACAAGGTCCTAGCTAGCAGATCTCAGATCATCAACAAAAAATGCATTCCCAGAAGGAGAGGAAAACTACCCTAGGAGGGACTTCTGTGAGCAGATCTAAGAAGGATCAGAGAGAAGGTGCCAAAGTGCCCCCAGAGGGTCCAGTAATGGCACACTTCAGAAAGCACAAACAAATATACATTTGGAGGCAGGGACTGTGTCCTTTTGTGGCAGTGACCGATAAGGAAACAAACAGGAAAAGCAAGGGTAGGTTGGAAGCCCTTCTGAGCCAGGTTATGGGCACAGAGGCACAGCAAGTACGGCTGCGTGGAGGTGCCATATTTGGAGGAAATGGTCCTCTGCTTTATGAACAGAAGAGGAAGCCCTTGAGTTACAAAGCTTAGCGACTCTCCATATCCTCTTTTCTCATCTCTTCTTATAGCCCTCTCCAACATATGCATGAAGCAGCTTCCGGTAGATCGTTGGTCCAGAAATTCATCCAACATAATGGACTAACAAATATTGAATGGGCACAGAACCCATTCAAACACTCAGAAAAATGAAATACTCTCAAGGACTAAAAAAACTTTCCCACAGATGAAGAAAACTCACTACATAAATATGATAACCAAATTTTCCATCATAAAATTGATGCATGCAGTGAGTGATGAAAAAAAGATGAAAACATCAGAAATACAAGAATGCAGGGAAGAAGGGAGATGAGAACTGGCAGAATTTAGGAATTAAATAGGAGACCCCAAAAAAATTGTTTTCAGAAAACAATAAATTAGAAGGAGGACAAGGAAGATAAGACACTACAGATAATACAGAAGATACCTGCAGATGTCAAAGAACAGAGGCCAAAAATCCAACATATGCATAATTGATGTCTCCAAAGAAGAAAAACAAAACTATGAGACAGCATAATTACTTAAAATATAATTCAAGAACACTTTCCTGAAGTAAAAGAAGACTTGAATGTATACACTGAAAGGACAAATCATGTGCTGGGAAAACTGACTCCAAATGGTCAGAATTGAGACATAGCCTAATGAAATTGTGAGATTTTTAAAGGTAAAGGATTCTTTCAGCAGCACAATGATCAAATCACTTATAAAGGAAAGAAATCAGGCTGACGTTAGACTTCCCCACAGCACTATTTAACTCCAATACAATGAAGCATTTCTTATAAGATATTTAAGGAACATAAATTAGAGACAATGATTTTATATCCAGACAAACTGTCTTTCAAGCCCAAAGGCTAACAGTTTGAACAAGCAAGAACTCTGGGAAAATTGTTCTTGTGAGCCTTTCCTGAGGAAAATAGTAGAATGTGATGGTGAATTTTATCTATCAACTTGACTGGGCCATGGGGTGCCCAAAAAAGTGTCAAACATTATTCTAGGTGTGTCTGAGGGTGTTTTGGATGGGATTAACATTTGAATCAGACTGAGTAAAGAAGTCTCATCTGATCAAAGACTTTAAAAGAACAAAAAGGCGGACCCTCCCCTAAGTAAAGGGACTTCCTCCTGACCTACAGCTTGAGCTGGGACATTAGTCTTTTCCTGCCTTTGAACTTGAATTCAAACATCAGCTCTTCCTGGGTCTCCAGCTTCCTGGCTTCTGAACTAGAACTACACCATTGGCTCTTCTGGGTCTCCCGTTTGCCAACTATAGATTTGGGGATTTCTCAGATGCCATAATTGCATGAGCCAATTCCTTATAAGGAGGAAAGAAAGAGGGACGCCTGGGTGGCTCAGCTGGTTAAGCGGCTGCCTTCGGCCTGGGTCATGATCCCAGTGTCCTGGGATCGAGTCCCACATCGGGTTCCTTGCTCAGCAGGGAGCCTTCTTCTCTCTCTCTCTCCCTCTGCTTGTGCTCTGTCAAATAAATAAAATCTTTAAAAAAAAAGGAAGGAAGGAAAGAAAGAAAAGAAAGAAAAGGAAAGGAAAGGAAGAAAGAAAAGGAAGGAGGAAAAGAAGGACGGAAGGAAGACCCAGTTGGTTCTATTCTCTGGAGAACCCAGACTAGGAGAGTAGAGAATGAATGCTAGTCAAATGAGATAACTGGGAAAAAAAACAGGCAAAAAGAATGTCAGTGAGCATCAAATATATTTAACTACAGACCCAAATAAAAACAAAGGCAGAGGTAAAAGTGACAGAAAAGAATATAAATGGTGTACATATACTCCGACAATTTAGAAATGAGGGGAGGAAGATAGACTATGGTGGAATGGAAAAGAAGTGAGTTGATTACTTGATTCCTAATAATCAGAGGTCAATAGTTAGCACTCAAAACTAACTGGAAGGGGCAGTTCCTGAGTCTGGCAATTGAAAATTAGACTTTGGAGGCTTTAGGATGAACACAGCTGTAGAATGAAGATGGGACTTGAGTTTAATTCTCAGCTCTGCTGCTCTGGACTTCAAGTAATTATATTTAGCTGGCCCTTGGAGATGTGGATACCCACCTGAAATGATTATTCTTACCAGAAAGTTGCCAAAGGCTGGCTTGGGCTGACCCTGACCCCCAGGGCTGTGTGAAGGAGTCATGCCTCCTCTCCTTATAGGCAAGAGCCAAGAACTTGACTGATTTTCTACAGTGCTAATTCCTATGTCAAAGGTGATTCTAGGAGTGTGAGACACCACCTTCCCCTTTCAGCTCCCTCCTCTAGAGGATTTCATCCACCTGCTGGATCCTCCCCAGGCTTTCCTGTTTCTTGGAGCTGCTTCCTGCTGTGCTATTTTTTTTTTTTTTTTTAGTTTCTCTCTCTCATTATAAACATTTAAAAATTGTTTTATTTAAAGATATTTGTCTAGAGTACACTTATGATGAGCACTGAGTAATGTACAGAATTATTGGATCATGATATTGTTCATCTGAAACTGATATGACACTGTATGTTAATTATACTTCAATTTAAAAAAAAAGATATTTCTCCAGTCTTATTCTTGAGATTTTATGTATTTTTACCGTTTCAATTTTTAGGTTTAGTTCTTAATCCTTAAATCCCATCTACTTGTATTCCTTTTTATACTTTTTACCTTACATTTTTCTCTTTTCTCTTAATCTTTCATCTCATTTACTTTCATATTTTTAACCTTTTCTTTTGCTAGTTTATGGCCTTTTATATTTTCTTATAAATCTCACCCATTCTATTCTATTGTTATTTTTAAGTTCCTAACCTTTCATCTTTATTGTGATTTATATTCTCTTAAAAAATGTGTATTGCTTTTCTATTGTTGTTTTAATCTCCTTCTAACCCTCTATATTCTCTCTCATGATTGGAATAGTCATATTCATTTTTCCCCTTTTCTTATATATCTGTTATAATTTTCATTTCTTTTCACAATGGCCAGCCAGAAGGCATTACTACAGCTGTGGTAGCAAAAGAAAAGCTCAGCCCTAAGGGGAGGCTGGGGTCCTTGTTCCTTGCATTCATCCTAAGAGTTATATCCTGTTCCTCCAGAGGCTGAGACACCCCCTGTTTTTAAATCATCGATCTCCAAGTCAATTAGACCTGCTAGGATCAGTTTCTATCCAGCTGGATATTAAACTTTTGTTCCATTGCCTCAAGGGAGATGTTTTCTCTCTGATTTCCTACCAAGCAGAATGCTGATTACACTTGACCCTTGAACCACATGGGTTTACACCACGCAGATCCACTTACATGTGGATTTTTTTCAATAAACCCAGTACTATAAATGTATTGTCTCTTCCTTATGACTTTCTTAATAACTTTGCTTTTCTCTAGTTTATTATAAGAATACAGTGTATAATGCATATAACATTCAGAATATATGTTAATTACCATTTCTGTTCCTGGTAAGGCTTCCAGTCAACACTAGGCTATTAGTAGTCAAGTTTTTGGGGAGTCAAAAGTTACACACCTCTAACCCCCACAGTGTTCAAGGGTCAACTGTATACTGAGAAGGTAGACATAAGAACTTTGGTTTTTCCAAAAGAGATCATCAAGTAAATGCACAGAGTGGGAAAAGATATTTGCAAAACATACATCTAACTAAGGATTTGTATCCAGAATATATAAGGAATGCCTATAAATCAGTTAGAAAAAGACAACCCAACTGAAAAAATAGATAAAAGACTTGACAAAGAGGACAACCAAATGGCAAAAAAACCCAAGAACCCCAAACCAGCTTTATGAAAAGGTACTAAGCTTCTTTAATCATCCAGGAAATGCCAATTAAAGCCACAGTGTACCACCCACCACCCACCCACCAGAATGGCTAAAAAGAAAAAGATGGAAGGTCTCAATTAAGGCTGGTGAGAATGTGAAACAAAGTAAACTTTCTTACACTGCTGGTGCAAGTATACATTGGTACAATGATTTGGGGAAACTGTTTGTCAGTGTCTAATAAAGCTGAACGTATGCGTATCTTACTACCCAGCTGTTTCACTTCTAGTTATATCCCCAGGAGAAAGGCACTCATTCATGGAGTCTCCAAACAATATGTACTAGAATGAATCACAGCAGTACTATCTGTCATAGTACAAAAACTGGATATTACCCACATGTCCATCAAAAGGCGACTGAATTAACTGCCACATATTCACATAATGGAACACTACACAGAAATGAGAATGAATGGTCTACATCCATGCAAAAATATATATGAAATTCAGAAAACACAATATTGAGTGAAGAAAGCCAGAGTATCCACTCATTATTCTATTTGTAGAGAGTACAGAAACAGACAAAACTAATCTATACTTTTAGACAATTAGGGCAGCAGTTGCCCTTGGGGTAGGCACACTAACCAGAAATGACAACACACTGGTCATATTGTTTCTTGATCTTGGTGCTGGTTATATGTGGGTTTAGTTTGTGAAAATTCATTGAGCTCAACGTGTATAGTATGCTCACTAAGAAAGTATATCATGCTTCAATAGAAAGTTAATGAAGACTTACCTTATACTCTATAGCATGATGACCAGGACTAAGGAAAGTAACTTCTTAGCACAGATCCTGGCATATTCCAAAAAATGACAGCTATTTTTATTACTGCTACATAACATCAATGATTTCGTGATGAACATCTGCTACAGCTAATACTACCAGCTTGATCTTAGCTTGCTTGATGTTAGCTTGACACATGAGACCCTGTCCAGTCCTGACTCTGCTGCAGCGACTTTGAAATTTGTCAAAATTAGTGCGGCAATACTGAGCATCATCAGATGTGCGAATCAAACCCCAGGGAACAGTAGTGTCTGTTAACATGGAATTATTGCTCTCTGCTTTTAGCATTTTTCTAAAGCAGTTCTGGCAAGTGAGGCCAAGAGCCACAAAAGGGCAAAGACCCAGGTTCTCCAGACTCATGCCTAGCGTGAATTTCACATACAGGTGCACTCTCTAGGAGAGATTCAGAAATGGCTGCACTCAGGACTTTTGCAGGGGCCAGTGACTTTGAGGAGCATTTGAAATGCTGAGCTGTCCATTGTTTCCTGCCTCCTCAGCACCTACTGGTCCCATTTCCCCTCCGTATGAAATTTTTCTATTGTCTGCCACTGTTACAGGGATCCCGAGGCTAAATTCTCAGGTAGCTCCTGATGTAATTCATGGTGAGCATTCCTACCCATTTGTTCGTTTACACTCCTCCTTATTCCAGAAAGGCTCCGAGTGGCTTACATGAACACTCTTGTTGCAGCCATCTCTAAGGGTCTCTGCCTAGCCTGGGACCTTCCCCTCGAAGAACTGCCCTTTGTATTGATAGTGGTGGGCCCAGAAGCCATGTTTGCTTGTTATTACCCCACCCTCATGGTCCTGGGGGAATGGACCTGGTGGAAATGGCTGACTCAAGCTGACCCAATGGCAATTTTTCTCCTGTGACTTTGAATTTGGTACTTGGAGGGTGGTCACGTTCCACTGACTGGCGGATTGAGACCAGGTCAACTTACCTTTTTTACAGAGAAGAAAGGAAAGCTGGTTTACAGAGGCAGAAAGAATGAAACAGATGCCTAGAAAAAAGTAGAAATGGGGTGTTTGGAGAAGAGAAAGGAGAGAGACTAGAAGAGAGAATGCCTTGGTCTCTGATATTTCTCTCAATCCCAGTTTTTGTGTCTCCTGTGGCCCAATTGCACACTTCCTCCCCCATGTCCATGAGACAATCCTATAATATTACAACAACCCTGTACTATTCTTTTTAGGATAAACTAGCTCAAGTAAGTTATCCACAAATAGTCTTCAACTAAAATAAAATATGTTGCAACAAGATAAAGTCACATTTAAAATGTGTTGACAGAGGCGCCTGGATGGCTCAGTTGGTTGTTTGCCTTCGGCTCAGGTCATGACCCCGGGGTCCTGGGATCCAGCCCCATGTCAGGCTCCTGGCTCAGTGGGGAGTCTGCTTCTCCCTCTCCCACTGTGTGCTCTCTCTCAAATGAATAAATAAAATTTTAAAATAAATAAAATAAAATGTGTTGACAAATGGAAAATGAGTCCTGAAGGCTGATGTGATGTCAGGCAAGAGGAGAGGACATGAATGACAGCCACAGGACCCTGGGCATTGCTGCTGGCGGCCAGCAAATGCCCAGGATGAGTCATCAAGTATCAGCTGTTTCCGACCCTAACTGCCCAAAAGGGACACAGGGAGCTTCTGAAATATCCTCCTTGGCCCCACCCCAGAGACCATGATTTAATTGGTCTGGGCTGGCATCTTTATGATGTAAAAGCTCCCTTGTGTTTCTCAAGTGCAGCCAGGGTGGAGAGTCACTGAGTTACATTAGTCACCACATGTAGAAAGAAAAATAAATAACAAACCAAACAAGAACAGTTTCTCAAAAGAGGTACGGAACAGTCCTGAGGCGGCAGACAGAGTGGTTTCTCCCGCAGATCCACATTCGCAGGGTGTGCAGGATGCAGTAAACAGTATCCTCAACAATCTCCTCATCTTACACAAGGAAAGGGCCCCAGATGTTCTAATTCCAAACACCATCCAGGAAAACACATCCGCGGGGCAGGGCACAGTATCTCTGCCGCCTGGCTTCAACTTGGACTGGGTTTTAGAGTATTTCGAATAGATGTTTATACTAAGACTCCTGAAATTTATTTATTTATTTTTAAAGATATTTATTTATTTGACAGAGAGAGACACAGCGAGAGAGAGAACACAAGCAGGGGGAGTGGGAGAGGGAGAAGCAGGCTTCCCGCGGAGCAAGAAGCCCGATGCGGGGCTCGATCCCAGGACCCTGGGATCATGACCTGAGCCAAAGGCAGACGCTTAACGACTGAGCCACCCAGGCGCCCCAAGACTCCCGAAATTTAAAGCAACTTTCTTCCTCCTGAGGAGAAGTCCTGTACTTTTCATCAGATTATCGGTGGTGGCTCTGAGCCCCCCAAAAGTTTCAGAACCACTGGAGGAGAATTCACATACAAGAGTCTCTCACCTGTGCAGGCGAGTTTCTAGGGAGACTCCTTTACAAACCCCTGGCATGCACTCGAGCTGCCATATTGCTGGGGAGCAGGGGACAAATCTGCCTCCACAGTCAGCTAGTGGGATCAGGATTGGCGTACCCTTCGGGAAGCTGAGGAGCCTGACAAGGACACATGCGTGAATAGAAGGCGAAGGGGAAGCCTGAAGGAGTCTTTGGTGAGCCAAGATCCTCCTCAGAAAGCATGTGAGATACACTCTATTACACAGACAAAAGAGCAAATAAGCCCCGAAAGTTCTTCAGCTGGGCACCAAACCGCAGCTGAACCGCAGAAAAATTTCTGCTTGGAAAAAATTTAGAGCAGGTGGACCAAATACCCATCTTGTTCATAAAATATCTCTGTAAACACCCATGGAACATTTAACCTTGAGAAATATAGTTTCCCGATGCCCTCTCCAAACTAAATTGTTTGCAAAATATATGACTATGTGACTGAATTAGTTAACTTGTTCCGTAGGGTTATTGACCATAAGTCAATTTAATGCTGGAGGCCGTCTACCAAAAATGATGACTTTGTTTTGAGAAGCATTTGATCTGTAGTCGTTCTTTGCAACATTAATTTGATAGTAGGTAAATTATCTATTAAGGTCGGTCTTGGCTCATGACACAAAACTATAGTATCTACAAATAAGGGAATTTCCCCTTTCAATTTTTTATAACAAGGGGATGATACCCTGATATCCTATCACTGAAGAGGAGTAGCAAGACTTTGAGGTGTTGATTAAACAGAAGACAGGCCAGAATAAATACCTGTATTATTTCTTTGAGAAATGCTATCTGATCAAAAGAATTCTCTTACTGGGTAGTTCCTAAATCAGGGGTCAGCAAACCGCAGCCGACGGCCCAAATCTGGTCTGCAGCCTGTTTTTGTGTGGCCTACAAGCTAATAATGTTCTTTTGCATGTTTAACTGGTTGGGGAAAAAAATCAGAGAAATAGTATTTTGGTAACACATAAAAATGATATGAAATTCAAATTTCAGTGTCCATAAATAAGATTTCACTGGACCACAGCCATGCTTATTTGCTTACATGGTGTCTGTGGCTGTTTTCACAAGACGGTGACAGAGGTGAATAGTAGCTGCACATACTATGTGGCCCACACAGCCTAAAATATTTACGATCCAGCCTTCTACAGAAAAAGCTTGTAGACCCTGTTCTAGATAAACATA